GACATGTAGTACCTATATAAGTAAATATCAAAGCAATTGGACTTGCGGTTTTCAACAAGAAGTCGAAAATATCACTTTTTACCAAAAATGACAAAAATATTCACCAAAATTAGAGAATTAAAGATATCATTACAAAATGAACAAATCTGAGAGAGGTCCACATGTAGTACCTATATATGTAATATCAAAGCAATTGCACTTGCGGTTTTCAACAAGAAGTCGAAAATATCACTTTTTACTAAAAATGACAAAAATATTCACCAAAATTAGAGAATTGAAGATGTCATCATGAAATGAACAAATCTGAGAGAGGTCTACCCAAGGTACATATACACCAAGTATCAAAGCATTCAGGCTTGTAGTTTTCAAGAAGAAGTCGAAAAAGTAAAACATTGACACGGACGACGGACGATCACTCATATGATAAGCTCCGCTCGACAAAGTCGACAGCGGAGCTAATAAAAAGAACATATTTAACAAACGAATGAACTACATTGTAACAGTAAAGGACGACGTCAAAAGATCGATGTCGGATAAAAAACTTATTTGCTTTAGTTTGGGGGGGGGGGGTTGATCTCAAAAAGTTTCCATCCTACAAACATTTTTTAATGAAGTCAAAAAAATCTATTTGTAGTTTGTTTTTTTCTGTCCAATCATAGACAAAAAATAATAGAAAATGAAAAAACAAACATCCAAGACGAGAAAATGGTTTGGTCCGAGTGTAAATATGTGCGTCAAATGAGGTCAACTTCAGGGCATGGACCTAGTGCATGAGCAGAACCCAGAAAAGTAGTTTGCGCATGCATATATTCCCCTTCATTATTACAACCAACTGCTATGCCATACTACTGTCCGATTATCAATTTGTATTTAATTGTGAATGTAGTCTGACGCCATGATCAATATTTATCAATTAAGTTTCAGTAGGGGGTAGGGGGGTTTGGGGAAAAAACTAAAAGAATTAAGTTTTTATCAGACATTGATCTTTTGACGTCGTCCCTAATGTTTATGAAGTTGACATGTAAATTATTCAAATACAAACATACATGTACAAGTAAATGTTTGGCATTGAGAGTTTATGTACAATCAAACACATTCAACAATGATGAAGATTTTGACTTGGTCCGACTAACTAATCATTTTAACCTTTAACCTTTAATTCTGGTGGTACGTAATTAATATAATAAAATAATATGCATATTTGTTGTTGTCAAGAGTGGTTGAAATCAATGGTGACGCAACAAATTTTGTAATTTTATTTTCCCCTAAAAGACGCAACATTTCCCTCAATCTGTCACATGGTAAACTAATATTGTCATTTGCATAGTTTTTTGAGGGCGTGCTCAAGTAACTGCTCAACTGCTTTTGGATGTTGGTACTCTGCGAGCTAAGACAGTTGAGTATGGTATACAGTGAACAACATGTTTATACTGGTGGTAAAAAAGTTAAAAATAGCACACAAAATAACAAAAATAAACAATATTAATAACAGTCAATTAAAATACGTTACAAAGGCTAGCCTTACTGTGATGTTTTGCACAAGACTTGTACAAAATCAACTACCTTGTCAATACATACATATATATGTCACAGGGTAAGGCCTGCTTATCGCTAATGAGAGGGCACCCTAAGAACTGGACAGGGGGTTCCTTTCACTGCTAGTATGGGGTAGACAAGACAATAGTACTGGAAACGAAATACACATACCCGAAAATACCGAGTTACAGCTCCGGCTTTAATACCTCTCAAAATAATTACAAGAAATAAAGCACAGAAAAATACAATGAATATAGTTACTAAAATAGGGGATTGCTTTAATAGGGAAGTGTGCATTTGTGATAACCCACAGTTCCAGGATGTAGAATGATAATCACAGACAATGGTTGAAGTCTGTATCACTTGATTCACAATATCGCAGTAGCTACACACAGGATATACACAGTAGAAATGATGGACACCAACTGTACTCAGTCTGTCCAATTTATAGGCACGATTCAGTGTCACAACCTGGGTTTCCACATGAGCCAATCAGAATGTGATCTTGCTATCAGCTGTGTCACATAAACATCCTTTGTTATTCAAATAACAGCAAACCCAGTAGATTCCAACTGTCCTTCCAGAGTTGAAAACAAGTATGACCTGTCAATCACCTTTATGACAGTTATCACACGGCAAAGCACACCGTTTCTTCCCATGATTCCATGCATACTTCCATTTGCAGGGTTTGAGGTAATATGACAAAAACATAAAATAAAGGATGCTGACAATATACAT